CTGCGTCAGGAGTGTGGTCAGCAGGTCGAAAGAGATGATTCTCACCCTACTCTGCTTTCATGAGACCCCACCTGGAATACTGCATGCAGTTCTGGTGTCCTCAACATAAGAAGGACATAGAAATGTTGGAGCAAGTCCAGATGAAGCCACAAAGTTGATAAGAGGACTGGAGCATCTCCCCTATGAAGACAGGCTGAGGAACTTGGGGCTGATCAGCCTGGAGAAGAGAAGACTGCATGGAGACCTCATAGCAACTTTTCAATATCTGAAGGACCTACAAGGGAGCTGGAGAGAGCTGGAGAGGGACTCTATTAGGTACTGCAATGACAGGACAAGGGGTAATGGGTTCAAACTGAAGGAGGGAAAGCCTTGGTTAGATGTGAGAAAAGGTTTTTACTGTAAGGATGGTAAGACATTGGAACAGATGGCTCAGGGAGGTTGTAGATGCCCCTGGCAGTGTTCAAAGCCAAGCCAGATGAGGCCTTGAGTAACGTGATCTAGTGAGGAGGTATCCGTGCCCGTGGTAGGGACAGATGACCTGTAAGGTCCATTCCAACCCTTAAATTCTATAATTAATCACATCAGAGTAAATTAAGAATGGCAAGAGATTATTAAATTTTGCTACAGCAGTCTTTTTTGTTGTTTTTGTGGTAGCAAAATCTTTTGTGGTATTATAGATATTATGGCAGGAAAAGAAAGCCAATAAGCTTACTAGAAGTGTTACAACTCTAAGATCTAAAAACCATAAAGGAAATAAACTGTAGTGATTATACTTCCATGACTGAACTTGCAGATGGTCCCACTGGGAAAATGCTGAGTTCTGTGAAGCCCTGAAAGTGCCAGTACTTAATAATCCTATTTTCTTCAGCAGTTTTCACCCATGTTCAGAAGGAAGATGTGCTCAGAACACAATGACAGTTAGGGAAAATAGAATTCAGTTGTTAAAGCAGGGATAAAAAATAAAATGTAAGCACATTCATATTAAGACCACACAAGCCTCAGTGACAGACCAGGAATATATAAGCCAAAGCACGTGTGAGCCTACAACTGCTCTCAGGGAAACCACACATTTTTGTTGAGGGCCCTGCAAGAGTCACTTTATCAAAAGCCATTTGAACTAAATTATTTTTGCTCACTGTCATAAATAAGTAGCTCAAAGTTAAGAAAAGAGACATTTATTTCAGTCAGAAGAACATTTTATGATCATCTAAAGGACGGTCATACTTACATTACAAAGAGTCAGAAGTCTTTCATGATGAACTGCACATCAGCTTACTGACATGAGAAAAGACCATCCATACTGAACCTGTAAACTTGCTCTGAAAGTTTTCCAAACTGCATTACTGCTTGTGGAATATGCTCAGACTGAAGCCATGAAAGATGGGCAAGTGAAACAGAGCTCCCTCTTTTTTGGGCACATCTTTCACTACAGATCTTCACATTCCTTTGCCATTCCTTTTCCTCAGCTTCTGCTGATGTGTACAAATTAGCAGTTGTGCTTTTACATTAATTATTCATTTTTGCTGGAGCCCTCAATGGAACACTGTAACAAACTTCATTGGAACATCTCAGAAATTGCGATGAATACAAAGGAAGCAATTAAAACTTTGATTAAAAAGGAGAGAAATGGATAACTGAGGTAAAGTGTTCACAAAGGACACTTTCTAGTATAAAGAAATTGGTTTATAATACAATCGCTGAGCTACAACTTGAATAAAACAACTCCCAACCAAAAGCAGGCTGTGCTTTTCCTAGCATCTCTCCTGTCCTGGCACAGCCAATCCTACTGGTGTTCAGCTTCACTCAGATAGTTTTCAGCCACAGACTGATTTTATAGGAACAGTAGCCTTAGTGGCAGCAAAACAAGCAAAGTTGTATTTACAAATCACTCCTCTCAGACTCATTAAAAATTATCCCTGAAACACGATTTAAAATCTTGAGAACCAATTTCACAGAAAAATATAAATAAATATGAAAACATGAAACATAAGGATCTATATAGTGCACAGAAAAACTAAAATGGCTTTCAAGTTAAGCTAGGAATGGTGATACATTTATACGAAACGTAAATGACACGTCTATGAAAAGTAATAACATGTGTCACCAGATTCCTAAAATCTATTGAAGATTTTAGAGAAAAGGTGGGGCAAAGTTCCAGTCAATATTTAAAGCTGTTATGTCACAACAACAGCAATATAAAAATCTGCTTTGAACTACAACCTCAGCTTAGCTATTCAATTGCAAGGGAAGTATTTTACTAGAAAGCAGGTGTACAGTGCATTCAGCACACAAGACCAAAGAACAGGCATTTAATTGAATGAATAATCTTTACAAAAAGAGCATAGAAATCATACAGACCATGCTACTTACTTTAAAAAGGCTTCATTCACAGCCTCTAAAAACTCTGAACTGAGAACTTCTTTTGATGAACCACCATGGTAAAGAAGCAGAGTTTCCAGCAATGGAGCTAGATCAGGCAAGGTGATGAGAGGGACACAGAAAATGGACACAGCATTCACACGACTGGCTGAAACACTGAGGGAAAAATAAACACAGTTCATGTTTCAGAGAAGTCAAAACTTTTAATTTCTAAACTTCTAAGATTAAAAAAAAAGACTACGTTGATTACAGAAGGTTAAATGTAAGAGATGCATACCTAACTGCAGAAAAATTATTTACTGGAATGACTGTTCACATATCAATACATATTGTGTGAAGAATCTTAAGAAGAATTAAGATAACATTTTGATATTTAAGGGCTCAAAGCAAACTGTGACAAAGTAAACATCAAAACAATTCTGAATTGAACCTAGTTGTGTTGGGTCAATCATCACATCCTTCCTAGAAGGAAACGCTTTGTCTTTCCCAGGATCAGTGAAGGAAGACTACAATATGAACATATAGTTTATATTAAAATTATCTATCCTTATTTTTGAGCCACAATGTATTTAATGCGCATGTAATCAAAAGGATCTACTACCATATTCAAACAACAAACTTTTAAAAGTACTGACAAAAGACTATGATCTGCATAGGTCAGTGGATAGGCACAAATTGCACAGTGAAAAGGCATGATCATGCCAAAAATAGTGACAACAGTAGCATTAGACAAATGCATTCCTTTTATGGCCACGGATTTGGGCTTAATTCACTGTATTTATAAAATGTGGACGAAGAATCAAGAATCATAGAATTTCAGGGGTTGGAATGGCCCTTACAGATCTAGTCCCAACTCCCCCTGCCATGGGCAGGGACATCTCCCCACCAGACCACAATGCTCACAGCCTCATCCAGCCTGGCTTTGAACACTGGCAGGGTTGGGGAGTCCACTACCTCCCTGAGCAATCTGTTCCAGTGTCTCACCACCCTTACAAGAAAAACCTTTTTCTTAATATCTAACCTAAACTTCATCTCCTTCAGTTTGAGCCCATTACCCCTTGTTCTATCTTTGCAGCTCCTAACAAAGAGTCCCTCTCCAGCTCCCTTGTAGGTCCTTCAGATATTGAAAAATTGCTATGAGGTCTCCATGCATTCTTCTCTTCTCCAGGCTGGACAGCCCCAAGTTCCTCAGCCTGTCTTCATAGCGAAGGTGCTCCAGTAGTCTTACTAACTTTGTGGCCTCCTCTGGACTTGCTTCAGCAGTTACATGTCCTTCTTACTTTGAGGGCACCAGAACTGCACACAGTATTCCAGGTGGATTCTCATGAAAGCAGAGTAGAGGGGAAGAATCACCTCTTCTGACCTGCTGACCACACTCCTGACGCAGCCCAGGATTCCATTGGCTTTCTGGGCTGCTAGTGCACACTGCAGGTCATGGTGAGCTTTTCATCCACTGTCACTCCCAAGTCTTTCTCTTCACTGCTGGTTTCAATTACTTCCCAATCTGCAGGTGTGCCTGGTGATTATTCTCACTGACTATATGTAGACACATAGAAACACACTATGCAGGGCTGATTATTATCATGTTGCAGGATTATTATTATTAGCATTTCTTTATAATCTGCATTGGAGATCTGGCTGAAGCACATCACCATTTCCTTCCAATGCACTTTCTCAGATTTTCATCCTTAGAAAACCAGGCCAAGGAAGCAGTTACTGGGTAAAAATACTATGTGCTTGGGTACATTTAAAATGGTTGTACATGAAACATGCAGTACTGACAACACAGTAGTCTTTGGTACCAGATCAGGGAACTAATGAAAGGAAAATGAGATGTTCTTAATCCTTTGCTAATGTTGTCATTAATAACAAGTGCAAAATACTATTCTGCCATATCAAACTATCACACACACAGAGAAAAAAAATTCCTTTGGAAAATTATTTTCTTGTAATAGCTACCAGTTAACTTTGGTTATAAGGACTTATATAGCACCCAACATTACAACTATGAAGTTCATGAGGATCAACAAAGCCAAGTGCAAGATCCTGCACATGGGTCAGGTCAAGCCTCAGTATCAGCACAACATGTCTGGAGAAGGACTTGGAGGTGCTGGTGGATGAAAAGCTGGACACGACCTGGCAATTCATGCTCGCAGCCCAGAACGCCAGCCGTATTCCAGCCTGCATCAAAGGAGGCAACAGGTTGAGGGAGGTGATTCTGCCCCTCTACCCTGCTCTGCTCCTGTGAGACCCCACCTGGAGTGCTGCGTCCAGCTCTGGGGCTCTCAGCACATGAATAACATGAACCTGTTGGAGCCAGTTCAGAAGAGGGCCACAAAGATGATCAGAGGGATGATGCACCTCTCCTATATGGAAAGACTATGAGAGTTGAGATTGTTCTGTCTGGAGAAAAGAAGGCTGTGGGGATACTCTATTGCAGACTTTCAGCACATAAAGGGGACTTATAATAAAGGCAGAAAGAGACTTTTCACCAGGGCATGTAGGGACAGGACAAGGGGTAACCACTTTAAAGTGGAAGAGGGTAGGTAACACGAGAGGAAGAAATTCTTTACAATGATGGTGGTGAGGCAGTGGAACAGGTTGCCCAGAGAAGCTGTGGATATCCCATCCCTGGAAGTGTCAAAGGCCAGGTTGGACAGGGCCTTGAGCAACCTGCTCTCATGGAGGTGCTCCTGCAGGGGACACCAGCAGGAAGGTTGAGCTACATGATCTTTGAAGATCCCTTCCAATCATTCTATGACTCTTTGGTTAAGTATAAACCCTTACATGAAGCCCCACTTAACAAGCTTGTCTGCACCTGAAATTATCTACATATATATTCAAAACTATTCAACTGAAGCCTAAGTTGTGCACAACTGTAAAATGATCCTCAGTGAACTGTAATTATCCAAACCAAAACATACTATAATTATGTTTCGATAACACCTACCTCCCCTGAATGCTAAGTCCATTGAACTGATTTCCTCTGAGTTCTGTTACTAATGAAGAGACTGTCTGTTGAATAAAATAAAAATAAATAAATTACACATACTGTCAATAAGCAGACGTTAGATGGTTCTCTGTGTGACTGATGTATTGTAAAGATAACTTTCTCTGTTCATCAAGTTTGATTTTTTAATTACTGACGCCAAATTAAAGCTCTCCAGATCACAGAATAAAATATGCTGCCAAATGTTTTTAATGCACTATAAACCGTACACATTTCAAAATGAAAGAGATATTCATTTTAGTTCTGCTTCCCCAGGAGTTAAGGCAAAACTTTCAGAAGAGCACTACTAATAATTCTTATATGTTTTATCTAATTCAAACCAACATATTATGAAATATTATTCCATTATTTTTTTTATATTAAATATAAAAGAGACTTTTCCTAAGATTTGAAACTTGTC